TGAGGCCATTAGTGATATATCTGGACATTACTGTACCTGTTTTATGGTTTATTATTATAATCAAAGCCAAGTGCTAAACCCACAAGGGTCATACAGTGCTATGCTGTCATGGAAAGACATAGCCTCTGTTTACCATCTGAAAGCACAAAGGGATTCTTTTATTTTTTGTATTGTGGAGACATAAGTCACTTCCTGTGATGATTCTTATTTTTATGGAATTGACCAATCAACCAGTAGAAAGACTCACTAAAGTTACAAGGGTCATACAACATTATTATCATAACTAATACTAAAAATGTAAATGTAAATCTACTTTTCTACCTCTTTCATATAATTGGGACTTATCTATCCTGTATCTGATGTGTAATAATTTTTTGTCTATGTATAATAGTAAATATATATATACCTGTGGGCTAATTGACTGTTGTGGGCCTCATCATAGGAAACTGGAATGACCCCAAATAAAAAAAAATCTTAACTTCTTGTCTTAAGTTATCCTGGGTTAATATTCCTCTGGGGTTAGTAACCTCAAAATTCTTTTGGGTACCTTTCTCTTCTAAGGATATTAGTTTCTAAATTCTCTCCTCATAGTTAATTTTGGGGCTGCATATCCCTCATCTCCATGGAAAGTGCTTAAGCTTTTAAAAGTCATTCAGCTTTCATACAGCAAGGGGGGTTGACTCTCATTTTAATGGAAAAGCATTGAACCTGTATGGGTCTTACAGCCCGGGAAAACAAGAGTTATTAAGTCTGAGCCACTGGGGAAGTATTAAACCTGGGAGAATGGGAGGTAATTCTTTTCCCCTACTAGAGGAATCGAAGGCATTCAGGTTTTAGCCAAGGAAGGGGAGGATAAATCCAATTCATTGGATCAAGAGCCCCTCACAGGAAATGGAGTACATCCCTTGAGGGTAAGGGAAAGGGTGTAAATTATAATAAAGGGGAAAAGCATTAAACCCATAGGATTTATGCAGCAGCACCTGTGGGGGGATTTTGGAAAGGGTATTCAGGCTTAATTAGGGAATGGAGCACAGATCCAGTTCCCTAGATCAACCATCTCCCCCCAAGCAAGGGGGACCCAAAAAATGAAAACCCCATTCACCTTTATTCATTCAATTTCTATTTTTCAAAGTATGACATCACAATTCAGTTTTACCTTCTGACTGCAACATCCTTATCCCTCCTTAAAGTGCAAGTACTGATTAAAGTTCTGTTTAACTGATTTCCCTAAATCCCTTCATAAGTTGCTACCTTGCTCAAAACTGCAACATTATGTCCAATTAAAAACCACTTCATCTCCATTTACTTCTATCCAACATGCTCACACAAGCCTGCTAATATCAAAACCCTAAAATTAAAAAGGGTTCTTTTACCTCCCCCCCCCTTTACTGTTCCTATCATGCCCCTACCCCTCCTACCATCCACCGTTTTATAGTCTTCCCATCCTCCATCCCCTCTACATTTCCAATGCACCTCAACAACCCCTTCTCAGCCCTACAAATTTTTCATACCCCGGGTGGTCATACAACACCTAGGTAAGGTAGGTAATCATATTTGATCCAAGGGGAGGGCAAGTTAAATTTCTTGGATCGAAAGCCCTTCACTGGCATCAAGGCTTTCCCACCCTCCGTCTAAATTCAATACATGACATGCTTCCTCAACTGTTTGCAATCCTGCCAAATTCTATTAAACAAAAAAGCACTAAACCTGTAAGATTTCCTGATTTTCCAAGTGTATTTTAAATTTAATTTCTTGGTCTTTTTATATATATCAGTGGATCTACATTTGTTCTTGGTTATCCCATCCATCATTTAAAATTTTCTCACATTACAATTCAAAAATCTTACCCATATATTTTATTTTTTCTCCTTGATTATGAATAAATGACTAGCTTGTTGGTTTATCAATTTAAAGCCTATCAACTGCATGAGAGCCATTAAATATGCACATACCCTGTACATACAAAGCTGTTGAACCATAAAGTTTTATTAATAACAAAGTGTAAGCAGACAAAGCTTAAAACCTGAAAGGGGTTGCACAAGAGTAAGGGTTAGTGGAGAGCACTAAAGGTAAAACATAATGAATAGCCTGCAGTGAACTATAGGAGTTTGAAATGACTGAATAATGAAAGAGGCAGTGATGCAAATGCATATGAAGGCCAAGAGGACTCCATACAACCCAGCTGTGAAAATGTTGGTGAAGTCTATTAAATGACCTCGGATAATTGTCTGGATTATAATCATGGAGGAGATTATACAGCACATCTGGGGGGGGGGGGGATGGAACGTATTCAGGTTCCCCAATTCAGGGAAACCCGAGCAATCCAATTCCCTAGATCAAGAGCCCCTCACGAGCATCAAGGAACCTCCCTTGAGGGGATAATTGTCTAGAAAAATTTTCTGCATTCAATACCTTCAGAGGATTGAGAACCATTGGTGTACATAGAAAAAGTATGAGAATGAGAAAGGGTGATTAAGAGTGAACGTGAAGCTATAGCAGGTAATCAAGGTTTCGCACATGGAAGAGGGAAGGAGCAGATACGAAATGCTGGAACTTCCCAACAGGGAAAAGATGGATGGACATTAAGAGGTAAACTGAAGGAGAGGAAAGGGGCACAGTAAATAGGCACCGAAGTACTACTAACATCCATTACCATCTTTTATGTAGAAAGATTGTAAATTTCATGAGCAGATAAGAGAAATAATGGGCTTCATGTCAATCTGGAAGAGATGGAGTGTTTGCCTCTGTATACAGGCTCTCAACTGGGGAGAAATAAGAAGTGCGTAGACACAAACATATTATTATTATGCAAAACAACCACTGTGAAAGAGTAGTGAAATTCCAGGCACTTTCGTGACTACTCACATTGTCAAGGAACTATGAGAGTAATACATCAAAGGAAGGCAATTAAAGGGCTTAGACTACAAACCCCACAGTCAACCCCACAACAAAGAAACACCTGACGCACGACAATACCGGACTCATAAGAAAAGAGGAAACACTGCAGTAGGTCTGCTGGTCCAACTAGACAGGTCCTCACGACATCCCACTAACAAAATATTCTACCCAAGAAATAAGGTTTATTATTTGTCCAATGTATTATTAAACTCGAACCAAATTTTATTAATTATAAACGAGTCTAATTTATATAAACCTAAGGAAATATTCATATTATTTTCAAAACTGCTTTTTATGAAACAAGATTCAATTATATTTCTGTCAACCATGGACTTGCTTGATACAACTTTCTCAACTTTTTGAAAATCAGTTGGAAGGTTAAAATCTCTCACATGAATAAATAGAGCATTGGAATCTTGTCCAGTTCTAATGCTATATTTATGTTGTTTTAATCTAAGTTCGAGATTTTTACCAGTTTGACCGTAATAAACTTTATTGCAAATTTTACAAGGAATCTTATAGACACATCCGTCAGCATTTTGGGGGGAATTCTTTATCAAAAGTTTTTTTTACTGTATCAAGATTTTTAAATACAACTTTTAATATTAAAATCACCTGTTTACTGTGATCTTATTGCATATTATTATTATAATCAAGGGGGAAGCGCTAAACCTGTAGGATTATACAGCACCTGTGGGGGGGATGTGGAAGGAATTCAGGCTTAATTCATGAAACTGGAGCAGATACAATTCCCTAGATTAAGAGCCCCTCACCAGTGCCAAGGAGCCTTCCTTGAGGGGAAAGAGACAAACGTAACCCCTTTGATGAAAAATGGGAAAAATTTAAATAGTGGAGGGATGCAAAAAAAAAAATGGTTGCTGTAATCCAGTATAGATAAGATTCCACAAAGGTTTAATGAATATTTTGGAACATATTCAGCCATAGTCCAATTTAGATGATTATGTTTTGAAATGATTTGAGATGATTATTGTGTTTTGAAATGATTGAGATGATTATTATTTTGAAATGATTTGAGATGATTATTGCTTTGAAACATAATAATCATCTCAGTGGATACAGACACACACACCTTTCAGTGTATGTATTCCTGTTAAAGTCAACTTTTCAGCACTAAAGGTTATAAAAATATACCATAATCTATTTAAATTTAATCAATTTATGCTGATACACACTTAAAAGATATGAAAACATTTTTTACATACATAACCACTACAAACAAAGAAGATAGTTATAGAACTTTCTTAGGGTATTCTTCTTAGCAATTATCAAGAAAGTTGGTGGGTCTGCCACAACATAGCTGTCAGTCCATCTTTGTCATTTTACAATATGTGGATTCTGCCCCTCTTTTGTGGGGCTTAGTTGTGTGGGGTTTTATAGTTGAGGGAAAATGCAAAAGAAATTAAGGAAATAAAATGACACCTGTTGTCAATGAATTCATTGAAAATTTGGTGCTGATAATGGGTTGTGGTAAAACAATATACCAAACATTTAAAATATATATATATTATATGAGAAAGAATATATATATATCTATCTATATATATATATATATATTTATTTTATATAAAATATATATATATATAGATATCGTGCGATATGTAAAACTGGTCAATTAGCAAGAACTCATTTAAAATTAAGTCCTTTCTGAAATTTTCTCTTTTTACGTTTTAAAGATATTTTTTTTCATTAATATTAATATAAAATTTTTTAATTTTGCACCAAAAGAATCTTAGAAAACTTACCTAACCTTATTTTAAAAAGAGCAATTTATTTTAGCCTAACCCAACTAAATATATTTTAAATACGTTTACAATAATTTAGTACTAAACAAACACAATCACATGTATTTTTTTCGTTAGGTTCAGAATGATTTTGGCGAAATTATTGCGTACACAAATTTTCACTTGTCCTATATGGCAAGATGAGCGTTGCTATTTAAGCCAAGATCTCAAGTTCTGCCTATTCGGCATGACAAAAATATAATATAATATAATATAATATATATATATATATATATATATATATATATATATATATATATATATATATATATATATATATATATATATATATATATATAAAATATATATATTTATATATATATTTGGTGAACATAATTCAATGCAGAAACCTCTTAAGCATTTGTTGACCACAATTTTATAAGTGATGTTAGAACTATTCCTTCACCATTCCTATAATAAAGTATTCACATAAAACACAACCATCATACCGAGCCATCACAATATTCTCTGAAACCTTTGCCATTAGTTTATTTTTATCTTCTACCACAGCTGTGCTTTGGAAAATGTACTTACAAAATATATGAGGTCTTCTGGAAAATGCTCATGGTTTTGGTATACTGTAAAGGATATCAACGATGCAATGGAGATTCAACATTAAATTGAGGCAAGCAGTCACCATGACCATGTCCAACATCTTGCTGACAGCTGTCCTCAAGATTACAATCCCAGAGTCACATCACAAGTATTTTCCACAGGCATACTTATTACACTAAAAACAACCACAAAATATTCTTGAGGGGCACCCATTGACGATTTATTTTATATAAATAATTTAACCCAGTAATAGGTTTTCACTCGCATGAAAATAGCTAAATAATATTACATTATCTTGTGTACTATACAGTAGTCCTAACAGTTCTATTTTCCTACCAAGAATGTACAATTCATACTTATAAAAAAAAAAATATATATATATATCAATAAATAAAAAAACATACAAAAATCAGTCATACTCTACATCAGCTTCACCAATCCTGAAATTCAGTGTTACCTAACACAGGTGTTCAGTCACTGAACAACAGGCCTTTCTACAAATTATGATCTTATTACTTGTAGTAGTAAATATACTCCAAATTTGAACAATAATTCCTGCTAAATAAATTTACAATAAACTAGGCTTTACTTTTTATAGGTGTTGGAGGTTTGGCTGCTTTAGGGATGAGAACAAAGGAAGGTGCTGAGGGATTATTGGCAGTGGGTTTTGTTGGGAGTGGGTCAGCAAGCCCAATTTGTTTTTTACGATAGTACTTGACTTTCTTGATGTAGCCTTGCACAAGACCACGTATTTTGGTAGGGTTTATCTCTCCTGATCTGTTGTGACAAACCTGTGAAAAATAAAAATCGTAACTCATATGTATGTAGTCATATACATAAGTGACAATGAAAATATTTATATATTTTCTCATAAAATACTTTTTCCATCCTCCTTAGTGGCTGTCTTTCTGGCTCATGAAGTAGAAAATGGGGTTAGAGATGATCATAATTACATGTAAATGATTCGGAGTGTGGAAATTAGGAGGAGGTGTGGAGTTACTAAAAGCATTAGTCAGAGGGCTGAAGAGGGGTTGTTGACGTGGTTTGGTCATTTAGAAAGAATGGAACAAAGTAAAATGACTTGGAGAGCGTATAAATCTGTAGAGGAAGAAAGGTGGGGTAGGGGTCGTCCTCGAAAAGGTTGGAGGGAGTGAGTAAAGGAGGTTTTGTGGGCGAGGGGCTTAGATTTCCAGCAGGCATGCGTGAGCGTGTTAGATAGGAGTGAATGGAGACGAATGATTTTTGGGACCTGACGAGCTGTTGGAGTGTGAGTAGAGTAATATTTTGTGAAGGGATTCAGGGAAACCAGTTAGCCGGACTCAAGTCCTGGAAATGGGAAGTACAATGCCTGCACTTTAAAGGAGGGGTTTGGGATATTGGCAGTTTGGAGGGACTTCTAAACTGTTGTATCTGAGTGCCTCTGCAAAGACAGTGATTATGTATGAGTGATGGTGAAAGTGTTGAATGATGATGTAAGTATTTTTCTTTCTTTTTGGGTCGCCTTACCTTAGTGGGAAACAGCCGGTGAAAAAAAAAAAAAAAAGATAGTCTCTATAGGAAAGTGGAAAAGACTTCTTCCTCTGTAAGCCATGCATGTCATAAGAGGAGACCTAAATGCTGCGAGCAAGGGGCTGGTAACCCTTCTCCTGTATAAATTACTGAATTTAAAAGGAAAACTTTTATTTTCCTTTTTAGGTCACCCTGCCTTGGTGGAATACAGTTCAAAGGACTATTTGATCAACCATAGTTTAACTGTATATATGGATCCATTACAATGCATGCTAATATAAAGCCCCACATGGTTCAGTCACATATTCTGAGAAGCTGTAGAACAGGTGCATAAGCAAAACACCTCATAAAAATAAAACAGAGTGAGCTTAGGCTACTTAGAAACTGATGGTTAAAGCACTTGAAATTAATATTATTACAGTTGAATCCTTGTCCAACCATTAACTAGGGTTATCAATGTTGCTAAATCTCTTAGCTGCCTCATTGATAATGTAGCTGTCATGATGAAACCAATACAGCTGGGGATTCAAGATTTCTCTAAGTAATAAAGCTAACTGTAAATTTTGATAAACTGAGCAAATAGTGACAGATGGGTGACCAAATTTTAAATAGAAAAGTGACATGTAATAGTAATGCAGTAATGGGAAGTAGGTCATACAAAGACTACTGACTGTGATAAAATACTAATAGTAATTGACATAGTGAGGGATCCAGGAATAATTATATGCTTCTATACATCAAGAAAGGTTTCAACTTCCTTAAAGTTTGTTTCACATGCCCTGTCTACTGGCTTTTACTACAAATACTTATCTGATAAGCAATACTTCATCCTCCACCAATCTACCTTGAGCCACTTAACAAATTTCTTGGGTATTTCCTGAGCCCTTTTAATCATTAACTTGCTATACACTTTACCCATAAAAACCAGCTAATATAATTAAAAGAATTTAAGCTTCAAGCACTTACCTTCTGTACACACTTTCGCATGATATCTTTGTAGTCTTCTTTGCCTATAGTTTTTTTGTTGTAAAATGGTTTGAGACTAAGTTTCACTTCTTCAACAACACGTTCTTGCCGTTGTACTTTCTTCAGGAACTGCAAAAAAAATAAATTATTAATAATTTTACTTTTAAATAATTGGTAGCATTTCAGTCTCAATCCTCACTGAGCTTGCTTTCAATATTATGCCAGAAACAATATGTAACTGACAAATACAACTGACCCATTTAAAAACAATAGCAGAACTAAATTTTGAATAAATACTGACATTAACTTTTGAATATTTCTCTTAATGACCATTTTGCACTCTTAAAATGACAAGCTAAGCGGCAATGATCATTAACAAGTGCGGTATGTGTATACACCTGCTGTTAGTTTTATAGGATGTCATTAAGTATTTTCATACCATATATCAGTATACAATATTTAATTAAACAAAATAAAAATAATTATAAGAATGCTAATACAGTAAAACTCTGGTTTTTGTATACCGTAAAATTTGGATTTCGACCACTTTTTTCGGCGAATTTTTACTCCGGGTCATATACATCAACTCGGAAATTGTCCATATCAGATGTGTCTGCCCGCCCGGGACGCCACTGCTTGACTCAGTCTGCCTCTGTCACTCGTCGAGTGAACGATACTCTGCACGTTCATCCATTGTTTTTGGTGCTTATATATTGAGTGCAACTGCAAAATAAGCCACCATGGGGCCAAAGAAAGTTCAGAGTGTCAGCCCTTTGGTAAAGAAGGTGAGAAACATGATAGTGACGTACGTGTGGCCGAGCTCGCCAGGATGCATGGGAAGTCCAAATGAACAATCAGTTCCATCCTGGCGAGAATGTGCCTTCTTCAGTGATTAAGGACAGGTGTGCAAAGTAGAGTGAGTTGCAAAGTTTTGCAGAGAATTATCACCCCAACAAAACTGCTGCAAGCCGTGTCTGCGACTTGTTCAATAACAATGTCTTGTCTCATTTTAGGCAAATCTTAGAAATGCCAGAAACAGGCCTCTCTGGACAGATTTTTTGTGTGACAGGGGTGCAGTGACTCTCAAGCTGGTCCTAGTGCCAGTAAAAGACAAAGAAGGGAAGTAACCCTGGACAGGGATTTGAAACCTGAAGTCCTTATGGAGGGGGATTCCCCTTCCAAACAATAACCTCTCCTCTCTCTCCCTTCCTTGCCTTCTTCCATATGCCAACAAGTCTTTAATAAAGGTATGAAATATAGTGATTTAAATGTTCATTTATCCATTAAAGTTAGTGCTTTGCATTTATTTTTCATTGTTTTCTGTTTGTAAAATTATAGTTATTCTCTATAAAATGTAATTTTTTGTTAATATTTTTGGGTGTTTGGAACAAATTTGGTTTACATTATTTCTTATGTGAAATATTACTTCGGTTTTCATTCATTTTGGATTCTGACAGACCTTCTGGAACAGATTAAGGACAAAAACCGGGGTGCCACTGTACAGTGGACCCCCGCATACCGTTGGCATCACATAACGTTAAATCCGCATACCAATACATTTTATTGCTAAGATTTTGCCTCGCATACCGCTAAAAAACCCGCTCAACGCTATTTGTCCGAGACGCGTCTAATGTGCGGCCTGAGCCAGCCTCACATGTTCCGCCGGTGGCACTGTTTACCAGCCAGCCTCCGCGGTAACTTCCAAGCATACAATCGGAACATTTCGTATTATTACAGTGTTTTTGGTGATTTTATCTGCAAAATAAGTGACCATGGGCCCCAAGAAAGCTTCTAGTGCCAACCCTACAGGAATAAGGGTGAGAATTACTATAGAGATGAAGAAAGAGATCATTGCTAAGTATGAAAGTGGAGTGCATGTCTCCGAGCTGGCCAGGTTGTATAGTAAACCCCAACCAACCATCGCTACTATTGTGTCCAACAAAACGGCAGTCAAGGAAGCTGTTCTTGCCAAAGGTTCAACTGTGTTTTCGAAACAGAGATCGCAAGTGATGGAAGATGTTGAGAGACTCTTATTGGTGTGGATAAATGAAAAACAGATAGCAGGAGATAGCATCTCTCAAGTGATCATAAGTGAAAAGGCTAGGAAGTTGCATGAGGATTTAATTAAAAAAATGCCTGCAACTAGTGATGATGTGAGTGAATTTAAGGCCAGCAAAGGTTGGTTTGAGAGATTTAAGAAGCGTAGTAGTGGCATACATAGTGTGGTAAGGCATGGTGAGGCTGCCAGTTCGGACCACAAAGCAGCTGAAAAATATGTGCAGGAATTCAAGGAGTACATAGACAGTGAAGACTGAAACCTGAACAAGTGTTTAATTGTGATGAAACAGGCCTGTTTTGGAAGAAAATGCCAAGCAGGACCTACATTACTCAGGAGGAAAAGGCACTCCCAGGACATAAGCCTATGAAAGACAGGCTTACTCTGTTGATGTGTTCCAATGCTAGTGGTGATTGCAAAGTGAAGCCTTTATTAGTGTATCACTCAGAAACTCCCAGAGCGTTCAGGCAAAAGAATATCCTCAAGGCTAATTGTGTGTGCTGTGGAGGGCAAACAGTAAGGCATGGGTCACTAGGGACTTTTTCTATGACTGGTTACACCAAGCATTTGCCCCCAATGTGAAAGATTACCTAACTGAAAAGAAATTAGACCTTAAGTACCTCCTGGTGTTAGACAATGCCCCTGGTCATCCTACAGACGTGGCAGAGCGACTTTATGGGGACATGAGCTTCATTAAGGTGAAGTTTTTGCCTCCTAATACCACTCCTCTCCTGCAGCCCATGGACAAGCAGGTTATTGCAAACTTCAAAAAACTGTACACAAAAGCTCTGTTTGAAAGGTGCTTTGTAGTGACCTCAGAAACTCAATTGACTCTAAGAGAGTTTTGGAGAGATCACTTTAATATCCTCAATTGTGTAAACCTTATAGGTAAGGCTTGGGAGGGAGTGACTAAGAGGACCTTGAACTCTGCTTAGAAGAAACTGTGGCCAGAATGTGTAGACCAAAGGGATTTTGAAGGGTTTGAGGCTAACCCTGGGAATCCTATGCCAGTTGAGGAATCCAATGTGGCATTGGGAAAGTCCTTGGGGTTGGAGGTTAGTGGGGATGATGTGGAAGAGTTGGTGGAGGAGGACAATGAAGAACTAACCACTGATGAGCTGCTAGATCAACTTCAACAGCAAGAGGCCAGACCTGAGGAAACTGCTTCGGAGGAGGGGAGAGAAAAATTGAAGAAGTTGCCTACTTCAAAGATTAAGGAAATGTGTGGAATGTGGCTTAAAGTGCAAACCTTTTTTAATGACAATCACCCTAACACAGCTATTGCAAGCCGTGTTGGTGACTATTACACTGACACTGTTGTGAAACACTTTAGGAAAGTCATAAAGGAACGAGAGGTACAGGCCACTATGGACAGATATGTTGTGCGACAGAAGTCCAGTGACTCTGAAGCTGGTCCTAGTGGCATTAAAAGAAGAAGGGAAGTAACCCCAGAAAACGACTTGACACCTCAAGTCTTAATGGAAGGGGATTCCCCTTCTAAACACTAAGACTCTCTCCTCCTCCCATCCCATCAATCATCACCAGATCTTCAATAAAGGTAAGTGTCACGTAACTGTGCATGTCTTTTTCAGTTTGTGTGTATTAAAATTAATATTTCATTTGGTAAAATTTTTTTTTCATACTTTGGGGTGTCTTGCACGGATTAATTTGATTTTCATTATTTCTTATGGGGAAAATTCATTCGCATAACGATAATTTCGCATAACAATGAGCTCTCGGGAACGGATTAATATCGTTATGCGGGGGTCCACTGTATTATTATTATCCTTAATTTTCATCATCAGAGTGAGTGATAATGAATCATCCCATCAATTAGTGTTTCCACCTCCTACAATGTCTAATAGAACTTAATGTTGATAATATGCTTTGTTTCAATGTAAATGGATGCAAGAAGACTGAATTATATTTTGCTATACCCCAAAAGTTTTAGGTCAATGTAATTTGGTGATATACAATACAATAAGCACAGGATTTCAAGACTTACTGCACCCTTAAGTTCAGTGAAGTAGCTAGCCATCATTAACCCTTTCACTGTTGGTGCCATAATATTACGGCTTGCAAGCCAGTGTTGGTGCCGTAATATTACGTCAAAATTCTAGTGGTTTCCAATCTTGCAGAAGAAAGCTGGTAGGCCAACATATCAGAGAATGGGTCTGAGTGGTCAGTGTTCGCAGTATAATAAAATCCTGCAGCAAGCTGTGCATAATTGGAAAAAAAAAAAACACCTACTGTGTTTTTGGTTTAAAACACCGACTCTGCAGTGTATTTTCCTATGGTATTTATGGTTGTATTCTCGTTCTCTTGGTCTCAATTGATAGAATGGAAGATATATTACAGAAACAGAGATGATTCTGAATGGTTTACAGACTAGAAGTACCTTGAAATTGAGCTCAAAGTAGCAGAAATGTTCGACTTTTGCCGATGTTCAAGAGTAAACAAATGACGTTACACGTCCAATACACTTGATCTAGTGGGTTTAATATACTTTCACAAATGTGCTGATATTATTTATACCATTTTTACAGTAATGCAGTAGTCTGCATAACAGTAAATCTTCTATTTTTTGTGTGAATAAAAATTCAAAATGGAAAGCAAGCGTAATATAAGAGGGGCCTGGAGATGTGACTAATAAACAGAGAAAATGTTATTTTAATCCTAGGAATGTTTGTATTATTAATTCTGGACCATATTTTGAAATTGGCCTTACTTGAATTGTGAATGAAATTGGCCAAAATACCAATTTCTGATCACTTTATTGGGTAGTTCATTTCGGTAAATGGGCAGTTTCTTGTACTCAATCAATAGAACAAATGGAGTTTAGCGAAACAGCTATGAGTTTGGTCGAGTGGAACAATGGAATTGGCCGAAAATAGGGTTCAAAGTGGGCAAAATTGACGATGTGTAAATATCGCCGAAACCAGTAACTTCGTGAGAGCGTAATTCTGTGAGTTTTCCATCAAATTTCATACTTTTGGTGTCATTATCATAAGAAAAAAAATTCCCTATCATTTCACAAGAATTTTTTTTTTTTGAAAATTCTTCGACACAGAGT